AAAGTGAGACACTTTCTCAAAAAAAAAAAAAAAAAACCTCAAGGAATATGGGTAAGCCTCAAAAACATTATGCTCAACGAAAAGAGCCAGATACAACAGAACACATACTGACATGTTGTAAGATTCCATTTATATGAAATGTCCAGAAAAGCAGAAAGTAGATTAGTGGTTGCCTAGAGCTGGAGGTAGGAATGGGATGAGGTGTCTTTTTTGGATAATACAAATATTCTAAAATTAGATGGTAGTGATGATTATAATGGTTTGATGGTTGTAAATATACTAAATTCATTGAATTATATAATCCATTTTACGGTATGTAAATTACATTTTAGTAAAGCTGTTTTTTAAAAGTTGCAAGGTGCCTTTACCATCTTTAAAAATAAACTACTATAAACTAAATATAACATAAATAATTCAAAATCAATTAAAATAAAACATCATCATCCCCTCTCTACTCACACCGAATGCCCCATGGCATCTTTGCTGTTTTTTGTCAATGGCACTATAATTCATTCAGTTAGAAAGGCTGAAAACTTATGAGTAATTTTGGATTCCTCCATCTTTTAAATTTCCTGCCCTCATCAGTAATCTGTCACTAAGCCTTGATCCTGCCTTTATAAAACTTTCCCCCCATTCCGTACCTACTACCCACTAATTAGGAATAGGGAATACTCTTTCCTCCTCCCATTAGCAGTCAAAAGTTAAGAGAGCAACGTGTCCATAGTGATGAAAAGGGAGAGAATGATTGAATAATCCCTGGGTATATCAGTTCAACAGGCTGTGAGGATAAAATTATAAATAAAAAACAAAGAGAAAGAAGAATCCCTGGGTGCTTTCATCTATCAACTTTCTCTATCACTGTATCCTCTTATTTCAATGTCCCTATCACTACTCCAAGTCTAGAAACAAAGGGCTTTGGTCCATACGGTATTGGCACAAAATTATTCTTTAGTCAGGGAACCTCTGGTTGAGGTTTCAAAGTACACACTTCTAAACCTGCCAGAGGATACATGAGCTGGGCTGTATCACATAACTGGATCTACCTGTAGCAGAACCAAGTTGTCTAAGCCCCTGAATTTTAAGGAAAATCCCAACTAAAAATATTTGTAATAACTATACATTATATCTCTTTTGCTCATTTCTTACAAACACATGGAATTCTTCAAAATAGTCTGCCTACTAAAAACATTTTTTCACTGACACTTTAGAATTTCTTAAATACAGTACATGGTTTAATCAAGAGAGACATATTTTCTGATAAACACAGCCAGTTTACTGATGGCTAATGCAACCTAAGACAGGTTGAGATTCAAGTTTTTACTTGCCTAAAAATCTTGAACATTACTTAATTATCCTATTACTACTAAAACTAAGTCATAGAGGCCCAGTGGAGGGCTGAGCCTCCATCCCCACAAAAGAAGGCACTGGGGATTAGGACACATCATCTCCCCTTCCCCACCTCCCATGTGTCACAGTGGGTGCCAGTGGGGAGCTGATCTGAGCACCCCATCCATAGGGAAGCCAGTACTTCACTTTTGCCGAGGTGGTGTCAATAGGACCTGGCAGAGAGATGAACATCCACTCAATACATACCCATAAAATGTATCTAAACAGGGTGACTGACTGAAAAAGAGTAAGTATGATTCTAAGTCTCACAACATAACACCCAAAATGTCCAGGATATGATTGGAAATCACTCATCGTACTGAGAATACAGTTAAAAGGAGGAACAACAAACAGGAACAACTGTGTCAAACTGAAAACAAATAGCAAAATGGCAGCCATAAATCCAACCACACCAATAATTACATTAAGTGTGAATGGACTGAATGCCCTACTAAAAATGCAGGGACAGTCAGATGCTTTCACTTAGTAATTCTGTCAAATATTAAGGAAAAAATAATGCCAATTCTACACAAACTCTTCTAAAAAAAAATAGACGTAATGGCAAAAAAGCAAATACTTTCTCCTAAGACCGGGAACAAAGTAAGGATGTACACTCTCATCATTTCTATTAAATGCTGTATATAGCTAATATCTAGCTAATATAATAATGCAAGAAAAAGAAATTAAAGGCATCCAGATTGGAAAGAAAGAAGTAAAACTATCTTTAATCACAGACAAAAAGATCCTGTATACTGAAAATCCTTTGTACAAAAAAAACAAAAAACAAAAAACAAAAACCCATCTAGAGTAACAAATGTGTTTAGAAAGGTCACAGGATACAAGCTCAATAAGCAAAAAATCAATTGTATTTCTATATATTATCAATGAAAAACCTGAATATGAAATAAATATAAGAATTTCATTCATGACAACTTCTAAAAGAATAAAATGCCTGGGAATAAATTTAACAAATGAAATGCAAAACTTATATACTGCAAACTACAAAATATTGCTGAGGGAAATTAAAACTGACTTAAATAAATGGAGAGATATATCATGTTTATAGATCTGAACAATCTATACTGTTGTCAACCCCTCCAAGTTGACCTATAGAATCAACACATTCCTAGAATACTTTTAAAAGAAAAGCATTTTAAAAGAAATTGACAAGCTTATAGTCATGTGAGTACTCGGAAAATAAAAAAAAAATTGATAAGCTGACCCTAAAATTTATATGAAAATGGAAAGGGCTAACAATGGCCAAAACAATTTTAAAATGAAAATCTCTTAAATTTGAAAATCTCCGGTCTTGACCTCTTCCAATCCATTCTATACACTGCAGCCAAAGTATTTTCTAAAATACAAATCTGACTTTATTAATAGTCCTCTGCTAAAAATTCTGTGCCAATTTCCCTTGCCCTTAGGATAGAATTTTTTTCCAAAAATGGTCCCTACAGCCCTTGAGACCTGACTGATGATCTAACTGCTGCAG